CAGAAAGGAGAAATAAATATCTTGCAAGCCAAATCATGTGATAATCTCGTTGATTTGTTCACTAAGTCCCTAACAGCTTCCTCATTTGAGAAATGTGTTAAAGGAATTGGTATGCGACGACTTAGAGATTTGCAAGGTTCAGGGGGAGAAATCTCCTAGATGTTAGCTTGTCTAAAGCATCATGTTGCACTCTTTTCTTTTATGAGTTTTTCCTCACAAGGTTTCTCATATAAAGTTTTTAACGAGGCAACATTAACATAAGCATATGTCATATTCTTTGTTTTCCCCCACAGGGGTTTTTAAAGGGATATCAAAGACATATATTGTCCTCTAAACTATACACGAGTTTTCTACTGAAAAGATTTTCTCGTATAAGTTTACAATGAGGCAATAATCATTATATGCTATATCTTTCTCCTTGTTTTCCTACTGGGTTTTAAGGAGTTTTTAATGGCATATCTACCTATATCATTCCTCGTTTTTATCCTACAGGAATTTTTGGAGGAACAATACCATTCATTGATCTCAAGGACGGATTCGATCAAGGGGGAGTGTTATAAATATCTTCACATAGGGGTGATCTCAACCGCCTCCTGGGATTCCCCTCGTCAAAGCCCAACCGCACATTCTTCTCGTACGTGGGAGCTTCTCCCCGTCTTGATCACATGCAAACGGGAAACTCCCCACCACCACGGGACGTGCGTCGTGGTTGCTTGACGGGAGAGTTTCCTCCTCGTAACCTCTCCCTGACTATGTATAAATAGCACCTGTGATCAATGGAATAAACTACGAGTTCCTTTGACATTCCTCGTCTCTGTTTACATTCTACTCGCAATTACTCTCAATAGAAACATCAGGTGTTTCTATCTCCTTCCTTTAAGCCATAGGGCTCTAGAGTGTTGGTGCCATAAAATTTCTTTTTCTGTATAGCAATTCCTCCATCTCAGCTAGGAGCCTTTTGCTTCTTTGTGGTTGCTGGTGTCATATTTTGTTGCCAGGACTTCTAGTCTTTTTAATTGTTCAATTTCTTTGTATTTGGCCCTATTGTGTTTTCACTCTAGGTTTTGAGGTACGTCATAACCCCTTGTAGCGTTGATGCGATTTGCCCTGGATTCTCACCCCCTCCTCTGCCAAACTTCTTTTAGTATCATCTAGAGTTGGTTCTCTCTCCCAAAAGGCCTCATATATGTAGCATTGCTTAAACTTCCAATGTTCATGTGATTTTAACAAATTGAGCAAGAGAGGTAGATGAACAGACCGAAAACCTGGAATGTGTCGTAGGGAAGCATATGTGAGTGCCAAAAGACTAGTCTAGGCAAGCTACAACCCTGTCAACTTTAAACGTTTTTAGGCCCCCCTTGTTTATTGTCATATGTCCATGGCAGTCTTGTATATCCTAAGTCATGGAGATTACAATCTGACATGACCTCTGTGAAACATCTCATCTATTTTTCACCTCTATGGGATAAGGAGATGTGTTCGATACAACTAGGAATATATGTTTCGGAATGGAGGAAGTAGCTTGTTTTCTAATTTGTTTCATTGTGTGAAATCATAACTTTAAACTGACCCGAGGTAGTATTAAATGTTGTTTGTAAAACATTGATTCAATAAAATAATAGCATATTTTTGTCAGACACTGTATAATTTTTCTTTTTAAAAAATCCATTACATGATTATGTTATTGCTCTAATATAAATAAGTAAAAAAAAATCTTAGGGTTTATTTGGATCTATCTCATGCTACTAGTTAGCTTAACTGAGATCATGCTGTTGTACAAAAAAAATACTGAGATCATGTTTGGATTATCGATCAATAGGTCAACTAATGTCTCACCTATTATCCAGTTAATATTTAGCTGTTAACTAGTTTTTTTGGAGCTAATACATTAAATAATTAGGTGGATAGATCCAAACAGGTCGACTGCTTGAATTTTGCTAGCTCCATTATCATAAGATGTGTTAATTTTTAGGCTAGCTACCAACACCCTCGCATGAAGAAGAATAGATTTTTGCTTTTCATCGGCGAACGAGGTAAGCAAGCACTTTCTGTTTTTTGTGTCTTGCGGAACTTTCCTCTGTCATTTTCATTCATCTGGCACCACAAAATCTCTGACGTGCTTTTCCTGTCCGTGACGGGATAGCTGCTCGCATACGGTACGCCTGTTGGAACCTGGTAAAACGTCAGTGAACATCCTTGCACGTGTTTAGACCGTTCGGTTGGCTTTAAGCCGGCTGGCTGGTTGGTTTTCGCTCTCACGAAATCACTGTTTATATTTTTCAAAATATTATTTTTCTCTCACAATAATCAGCCGGAATAATATTTTTCAGTCCTACCGAACAAGCCCGTTGTTTGCCGTTGTAATAAAAAATCATATAAAACGTTTGCCACGCAGTCGGGGCGGAAAATGCTAGCAGTGTTTGTCAATCAAGGAACTTTATTTATTGGTTCGTTCGCGTGTCCTTAAATCCGGCTTGATCTGTTTTTTTTTTCATCCAAAACAGTATTTTTCTCTCACAAATTCTTTCTAGATTTATCTAAATTCATCAAGATTCCTCCAGAATTCCTCCAGCCGAACAGGGTCATTAACAGCAGCGAGTACAGTCTCAGAGTTTGAGATACTCTCTCCACACGTTTAGTTCTTGTTTGTTACAAGTGGGTCCCTCGTTTCTCTGCAAATGTACAGTGCTTGACATAATTGCTCAAGGGTCCCGACGTGATACTAAATTATTATCCAGATACAGACTATTGTATAGAGGTCGCATGAACAATCGATTGATTCCAGCCCCCTGAACATTTTAAAAAGAAATCGATGAATGCATACACGAATCTGACCCGACCTTCTACGTACTAGTGCGTTCCAGAATCGGACCGCAATCACGAATCTCACCACGCAAATCCCATTGAGACTTTCCCTCAGTATGCTATTATAAAAGATCGTAATTCCCTATGTGTCTTTGGAAAAATTTAGTGGTCTTCAGCATTACTACTCAACTTTTTCGGGTCCTCCATATCACTTCCTTCAGTTCAGGCTCTAACGCCGTCAAACTGCAGGTGTGAAAAGACGAAAATGCCCTTAAGTTCAAATATGTTATTAATTTTTTTTGAGCATCTTAACGACTTTAAATGAAAAAACTCAAAACTAGAAAGTTGTAGATCTCGTCGAGATCTATAATTTTTATATAAAAATTATTTTCATTTAATTCCGCAAAAAAAATGATGATTTTTCTAAGATATATTAATCATATCATATCAAATTATATTTTTTGTGGAATTAAATGAAAATAATTTTTATATGAAAATTATATTTCTCGACGAGATCTACAACTTTCTAGTTTTGAGTTTTTTCATTTGAAGTCGTTAAGATGCTCAAAAAAATTAATAACATATTTGATCTTAAGGGCATTTTTGTCTTTTCACGCCTGCAGTTTGACGGCGTTAGAGCTTGAACTGACGGAAGTGGCATGGAGGACCCGAAAAAGTTAGAGTAGTGACACTGAAGACCGCTGAATTTTTCCAAAAGCACACAGAAGATTACGATCTTTTATAATGACACACAGGAAAAAGTATCAATCCCATTCCTTCTGCCCCCCGCCACCTACCAGCACCATCCATTCGTTGTTGCAAATAAAGATGTGTAGCGGAGCAAGACCGGCGTCTCACGCGAGATCACTCGCTCATGGTACCGTTTTGACCGCGACGTCGCAGCACCGGAGATCCGCAGGTGTCTACCGGTCCCCTTCCAGGCAGGACCACCGATTCGTGTCAGCAAGCAGGCACCCCACAGAGGCACGGGCCCACACGGCCACACCCGTTGGGTTCTTCCCGGCGGCCGGCGGGCACACACCACACGCGTGATGCGTCCGGTTGCAGAGCCCGGGCGTGGCCTGTACAACAGTGCAACGCCGCCACGAGGAGCATGTGCTTGGGCGCTGACCTGAGAGCGACATCTTCCTCCCCCCATGGGCGCTGTGCCGCTGGGGCCGTCGACCGCGGACGCCAAGGCACCGGACCGAGTAGGCTGCTGACTCTGTTCCGGACGCCAACGCACGCACGGGCACGGCGGCGGCGCGGGCCTGAGGTGGAAAACGGGCCAAACGCGGCGCGGCTCGTACTCGATCTGTCGCGCGCGGACGACGAGTAATTCCATCCATTCATATCCACCGTTTCCGGTCTCCTTTTTCTCCTCTGGATAAAGGATCCAGATATCACTGTTTACTACTCCTACGTCAGAAAATATTACCCAAATACTCTCAACGTCCTATAAAAAAAATATCATTCTCGCTTCAAAAATTCAAACACTTTTAACTTTAGCCAAATATATATATATTAAAAAAATGTTAACATATATGGTACGTAATTAATATCATTAGATAGTCGTTGAACATATTTTCATAATATAAACTTACTTAAGATATACATATTATTAATATTTTCTATAAACCTAGCTAAATTTAAAAAAAGTTTGACCAGCACATTTTTCATAGCGATTTTCTTACTGTCTACGTAGTACACAGTAATCAGGTGTTTTAAAGCCGCTGGACACTAGACCTCCTCTTTCCTTCCCACCGCCGCTGTTATGGCCATGGTCGCCTCCATCCTAACCTAGTTCGGTCGCCTACTTCGCCGCTCGCTCAGGCGGTGTCATTGCCGCCTCCGCCTCACCGCCGTCTCTCTCATCTCTACCACCTAGCCTGCCTCCCCTAATTCCTTTTCTAAGCTCGCTATAGCTAGAGTAGAAGAGACGGAGAGGAATAGACCGAAACAATAAGTGTTGTACAGAATTTCCGTTTTTTTAATGGGACTGAGTAGTACTCCGTACCGTTCCGTGTCCGACCCAACAACATAAACAAAAAAACAATGTTTTTTCGATCTGTATATAAAATTCTATATATAGAGGCAAGCAAACCTCGCCCACACCTCCAACGCGTGACACACCCCGCGCGGCACCTCCGCCTCCACCCCACCGTCGCTCCCTGACTCTCACCGCCACCGCCGAGATGGCCTGCTCCCGCCTCGCCGCCGCGGGGGCCTCTTCCCCCGCCGCCGCATCGGTTCGTTCCCCGGCGCATTCCCCAGCCGCCGCCGCCTTCGCGCGCCTCCGGTCGACGCCTCGTACGAATCGCTCTTACCCGGTTCCACCTCATCCGCCCCCCTTCCTGGCCTGATTCGCCGCATTGTTGACGGGCTGCCTGTGTCTGCTTCTCCCACCCGCAGGTTTTGCGAGCGCTGGCTTGTCGGTTAAGGGAAACAGGGCGGCTCTTCCGTTGGTCGGCGCCGCGGGGCCGGCCGCGGCCCCGGCGCCGGTGGCCGACCTGGACGGCCGCCCGGCCACGGAGAAGCAGCCCATCATTGTCATCGATAACTACGACAGCTTCACCTACAACCTCTGCCAGGTATTTTGGCGTTCTATGTTGTTTTGGGGCGTGTTCCCTTCCGAACTGTTTGGTTATATGTGATCGGTGTGTTCGGTATCCTTGCGACTGGAGATGAGTGGCGGCTGCCTGCGGGCTGTGGCCTGTGGGTGGGTTCATACTTCGCACGTACCATAGTTTTTGTTTGCGGTTATGCCCCGGGTTGCAGCTGTAACGAGCTTTTCAGGATAATTGTTTGAACATTTTCCCATTGAGTTGAATAGTGTTTGATTATTGCAAGATGAATTCCTATGCCCAGGTGGAATAGTTGCTTTCATGTTTCTCACGATGTTAGTTCAAGAATATTTGCAAGATGAATTGCTATGTGCAGGTGGAATAGTTTCTTTCACGTTTGCTCACGATGTTAGTTCTAGAATAATAAGATGCATATATATGCAATTATTTGTCTGTGTTTTGAGTAATTTTGTTTGTTCGTGATAATGTTATGATTTTTTATTGTAGTTTTGTAATTGCAATATCCCAAGACTTTCATTTTTCAATTATGCTTTTACTGAGATCAACTGATGGAATATATGATCACAAGGATGCTAGGAATCTATTCCATGATGCTGTTATACATTATATGAACCTTTATATGGAATTCGTATCTGCTATAAGTAGGCATCCATACTTGGCGGGAAATACCTATCTATCACATTAAAGTCCTAAACGACTATGTTGTCATCACATTGAAGTCCTAAACGACTATATTGTCGTCACATTAAAGTCCTAAACGACTATGTTGTCACTCTTTGTAAAGTGTAAACAAAGTTGCATAAGAAACCTTTTGTAGGCACAGCTCTACTTTATATCTACATTGCTTGAATTGCACTTTTATGTCTATACTAAAACGGTAAAACCAGAATCATAAGTGCATTCTTTATTCTTGGTGATGTGTGGATCATGTGTTATTGTGTTTCTTTTTTCCACAGAATGCTTATAACATTCCTTTATTGCAAAATTTGGACTTAAAACAGGAACGCTAGATTTGTTTGGTAGCTATCGACTTAACAGATTCTATGCTCATTTCTGTTGAGTATCTTCAAGTCTTTGCTACCTTTCTTTTTTTCTGCCGAGAATAGCTTTGTACTGGAACTTAGGTACTGTTTGTTTCTGCAAAGGCAACGACAACGTAAAAGGAATGGCTACACGGCTGGAACAGGAAGGGAATCAATAATTTACTTTTTTTGTTTGGTCCAGTTGCGGCAATCGGAAAGCAAGTTTGTTTTGATGCTGACGTGAGCGTAAGCGGTTACCGCCCAGGATTGGGCGTAATCAACGTGGCCGTATCTATTCCCGTGCAATCCGGTTACACCGTACGTGTAACAAACAATAACTAACACAATCGAGTAGCGGTGTGATTGGATATTTGGATCACGCTACAAAACAAGCCAACCAAGCAGCACCTTAGTGTACATTTATTTTTTCATGGGATTGGATATCAAAAGGGTTAGGATCCAGTTGCCAATGGAGTCTCTCCTAGTTCCTGATCAGGGTGAGCCATATGCATAGGTGGCAATTAGGCACTAGGTGGGAGGCTGACGGCCAGCGGTTAGTCAGGTTAGATGGCCTTTTAAAACAGTCGTTAATATTGATATTGGCATGCTCCTTTGCAATAAAGCTATAAAAGGCATGCTGTTTGAAAAATAATTTTTGTTTTGGTGAGCAAGTATGCATTTGAGTGTTACAATGCCATTTTTGTGTGGAAGTAAAAAGCTTGGAAATGGCGCTTCAGCGTCTCTTGGCTCTTCAGCAGTGGTGCCCATTAATTGAAGAACACTATATAATAACTAAAAGGACAACATTGTTAAGAAGTATGTATGCAGAGGTCATTCTAGGCAATTGGTTTGTTTGTTCAGAAGTGTGTTTTGTGAGACATATCAGTAACTATTGAATCCTCTGTAAATTTTCCTTACTATTTTGTCAAGTAACTTACCACTTACCAGGGTACTTGACATGGTTTGGTTTCGAATGTTGACTTTGCTAATACCGACAAGTTCACTTGGCATAGCTAATTTGGCTTTTGCAATGCTGCAATGTTTGTGTGATGTAGGATGACATACTGCTTTGTGAGATTCTTACTTTCTATTAATGACGATTAGGCCAAGTAATGTGCATTTCTATTGTACCTCATAGGTGGCACCTATTTATCCTTTTTTTGAAACACAATTTCGTATTACACTTTATTGAAACATAATATAGAGGAGAAAGAAAAGAAAAGAAACATATGCTATGAGCAAAACATGTCTTTGCTGACATTTTGTGTTTAACGATGAAGTATATGGGGGAGCTTGGATTGAACTTTGAAGTATACCGCAATGATGAACTGACCATAGAAGATGTAAAGAGGTATACTTAGTTCTCTGAGAACATTTTCAATTTTGATATAGCGGCTTTCTATTTTCCCCCAATACCAAAAAGAGAAAAAAAAATATTGTTATACTTTGTTTCAACTAATCTCAGTTTGATGAAAATGGTCCCTTTTCATTTATTATAGGAAGAACCCAAGAGGAATACTTATTTCTCCAGGGCCTGGTAAGTTTAATCTTATTGAATATCACAAGTGTTTAGCTTCTGAGTGTAATAAAATACTTTCGTATTTGTTCGTTAGGTGAACCACAAGATTCAGGAATATCATTGCAGACTGTTCTTGAATTAGGTCCAACCATCCCAATTTTTGGAGTTTGCATGGGCCTGCAGTGCATTGGGGAGGCATTTGGGGGTAACATTTATCTTTATAACAGGTTACTAGTTTTTTAATGGCCTCTGCTTTTGTCTCTCAAACATTTATGACATGTATATGCAGGAAAGATTATCCGTGCTCCTTCTGGAGTGATGCATGGGAAAAGCTCTCCAGTTTATTACGACGAGGAATTAGGAAAGGCCTTATTCAATGGCTTGTCAAAGTATGATTTAATTCCTTATTTTAAACAAATGAGTTTTGCTCTGCTTTTAAGAAAGCAAATATTCAGTATGGTTTAATTTCTGAACCATTGAATCATCTGAATGTTATGTTGTTTGTTGTTGTTCACTATTCTTACCGATTCTCATGGCTTGTTATACTGTTCATGACTATAAATTGGCATAATTTATTACTAGTTTTCATGGAGTGCCTTTTGTATAACAACATGCCATGCAACTAACTCAGTTTCTGTGGGTCATTCTGCTTTTTATTGATAAGTCATTCAGCCATGTATGAGAAGTTCCTAACCTCTTATTTCTTTAAAATAAATGTTTTCTTGAGTTATTGAAGGAGATGGTAATATATACCATTTCACTTATATTATTATAAAACCTCTGTTATAATTCAATGCCAGTTACTTAATTCAGTTTATGGTACTCCCAAGTAAACCTTCCGAGTTGACACCACCCTTTGCTTCCATGGACAGCCCTTTTACAGCCGCGAGGTACCACAGCTTGGTCATTGAGGAAGAAACCTTCCCACATGATGCTTTAGAGGCTACTGCATGGACTGAAGATGGACTTATCATGGCTGCTCGCCACAAGAAGTACAAACACATCCAGGTACACCTATTTCCCAACGTTTTGTGCATGCCATTGGATGCATATGCTGTCCTTTTGAGTCCCACCGAGGATTATGTTCTCCTTAATTCTGGACTTGTATTATAGTGACTGGTAACGGTAACTGTTCAGGGTGTCCAATTCCACCCGGAGAGCATCATCACCCCTGAAGGCAAGAAAATCATCCTCAACTTCGTCAGATTCATTGAGGAACTGGAGAAGCAGCGTTCGTAGTGGAGGTAGATGCCATGGGTGGTTTCATAGATCTGGCAGAAGCAGAGACAAGGCGCTTGAAGTTGAAGCTGCGAAGTTCCGGGGCTTGCAGTGGAAATGAGCTAGGAAACAGCCTTTTCCTCTCTTAATTCGTTGTGTTCGTGGTAACATAATCTGTGTTGACCGAATTTCGAATAAAGTCCAGCTGATCAAATAAGCACTGGTGTTGGTGCTCTCTAGATGAATATAAGTAAATCCGGTAATTTTCGGCAAGGGAGGCCTTGGCACATCTTTGTCTGATGAGTTCTGGCGATAGCAAGACCGGCCGTAATAGCATCAGGCGTTTCTGTGCTGGTGGTTGGTGCCGCAGTAACTTCTGCTGTTCTGCACGGCTGCGCCTGCACGCCTCCGGCCGGAATGCATCCCAGTCCTAGCAGCGGGCCGTACGGGAACAAATCAGTTGCTTGATGCCCTAAAAAGAACGGCCGGCTTGAGGCCCGACAGCAAATGCATCATCTTTCCTGTGGGCCAGTGACACACCAAAGGTCCACCTAAGGAACAAAAGCCCACGGTTTCATGGACTCCTACTATAAACAAAGAGACGGAGATTCAAAATTCAGAAACCACCACCAGTCCCACGCCCACGCACGCAGCATTCCACCCGAAACTCGAACAAGCGTGCACTGCGGAGCCCCGTCCGCCACGGGCGCGCTTCCCTCTCCACTGGCGTCGGGCAATCTATGGACGGCGGCGGCGCGACGCGGGGGCAGCCGATGCTGGAGAAGCGGCCGAGCCACCGGGAGCGGCACTTCACGGCGGGGGAGGTGGTGCGCGACGTCATCATGGGGGTGTCCGACGGCCTCACCGTGCCCTTCGCCCTCGCCGCGAGGCTCTCCGGCGCCAGCGCGCCCTCCTCGCTCGTCCTCACCGCCGGACTCACAGAGGTCGCCGCCGGCGCCATCTCCATGGGACTTGGAGGGTAACTGCATGATCGAACTCTTGTCTCTCTCGTTGCTTCCCCTCCCATTCTCGTCACGACTCACGACTGATCTAAGCGGAAGCTACCAGAGACTTCCTTCCGTTTATCCTTTTACGTTGACTGGGTATCAGATTTTAAGTTTTATATAAACTGAACTGTGAGCTGAATATATTGAGTTACGTATGAGAGAAAATTTAATTCATGCATGCACAATTACATTCGGGAAGACATCTCTAATTTCGCAGTCGTCCTTGGTAGAGAATTAGAGACGTCTTATCTGCCTCGAGTATTTGATGAGTGTATAGCGCTAGTACTCATAGCATAATAACGAACACTAAACTGGAAAAATATCAGCCTGTAAGTTTGCACTGTTCAGCAGATATGGACATGTCACATGTGCTTTGCACCAGCTACTTGTAAATTGGCCCTCATCCAACCAAAAAAGGAAATCGTTAGGACAAAAGCTAGCTCGTGATAGACAAGTGTGTGGCCCTCTTTCACGTGCTCCTCCAGCACGCTTTGTGTTACAAGTAGTTATCACAGCTTTTAGGACGAGCAAAGTGGAAAACAAGGACGGACTGCGCTTGCAGCGTGAAGCTCGGACTGGCGGACAATCTCCCGCCGGCGGATTTGGAGGCCTTCGAGAAATATTTGCCGACCTTCGCAGACTCGCTGACACCGTCAAAGCAGGAGGCATTGCAGATGCTTTTCGCGCCTGATTTTGATCCCGTGGCCATGAATCTCAACTTGGCCGAGCTGGAGGGGGACGCGCTGTAGTGGAGCCTGAGACCTTTTCAGTCACGCCCTTTGTTTCTTGATGATATCATACAACTGCTTTGTTTGGAATGTGCGCGAGTTGAATGGCCGTGCCCGTCGCAATGTCGTTAGGGACCTAGTGACCCAGGAGCATGCTACTCTGGTGTGTCTGCAGGAGCCAAAGCTCTCCGTCATTTGTAACTCACTGGCTTATGAAATACAACAATACAAATCAGACGCAGGACGTAGGTATTACGCCTTCTTAGCGGCCGAACCTGGATAAAACCTTGTGTCTGTCTTGCGTCACCGTCTTGTTTGTGGCTTGCGCATCTGTCTACCGACAATCTACTACCTTGGGTATACCCCTAGGTAGACTGCCGACCATATTTCGTCGACAGTGGCGCGCCAGGTAGGGGGTGTGCGTACTGCTTTCCAAGCAAACAAGATGGTCATCATCTCCGGCTCCATGGCTACGCCGAATGGCCTCACGTTCACCGTTGGCCAGATCACCTGGACCACCGGCTCCGACAACTTCATCACCATGACCCCGGAGGAGGCGTGGATTCACTCTGCGTCGACCACTGCTTCACCTACATCGGCTACGGCTCCGACCACGATGGATACGGCTCCGACCATGATGGATGCGGCTCCGACCACGATGGATCTGGCTCCGACCATGGTACATCTGGCTCCGACCACGCCTGCATCACCTTCAGCCACGTCGACAACTTGTCATCCGCTTCCCGCTACAAAGGGAAGCAGATCGACAACACCGACCGCTTTCGACTCCATCGATCGGGTCGGCACCAAGCTCATTGAAACCCTAGCTCGTAAGTACGATTCAAAGTCGACCTAATGAGCGGTGTAACCGCTCCCCAAGCAGATCTACCCGACCAGCTCGGACCGGTCATCTGCCGCGACTTGGTACAGATCTCGTGGTCACATCTACTCCTCAAGAGCGCTCTCGCCGTCAAAACCAGCCTTCGCGGCGGGTCTCCGACTCTCCGAGTACGAAGCCTCGACGGAGAACTACGTGTCTAGCCCTACGGCCTCACGAAACGCGCCTCCATTCGCCTACAACACCTGCGCAACGCCGCTTGATCTGTGTTTTATGCACCGACCTCGGTAAAGCCACGCAACTTCGTCAACATGATCCAGATTGAAGATTATCAAGAAGGATCCGTTCACACGATCCAAGAGGGTGACTCCGGCTCCTCGTCTGGCACCGCATCTAATGCATCTGTCCACACCGAAGCTTGACATCACGAAGATGAAGGCGTCAAAGTACGATCTGGATATCCTGCACCACGCCCGGGTTCTCACAATTCCGTCTTTTCCCGCCAAGACGAGGGATTTGATCCATGTTGTCGACAATGACAAACGCCGGCGATTGGCGAAAAGTAACAAGAAAGGATCGCACGCGAAGCACGCAATATTGACCGGTTTAATCGCCGACAAATCGAAGCCAAGCGCGGAACCAGAGGCACGACGCATAAGGGTCCAAATGACGTGACCTCAACGATGCTTTCGGCGGTGGTGGGGACAAACAGTCTTCGAACTCCAAGTGCCAACGTGGCCGTCGCCATGGCGACAATGCAACGGCTACCCAACACCGAAACCCAAGCGCCGCGATGAAATACAAGCCTATCGATGATCGCTATGGCCCAAACCACGGAGATTGTAAACCAAGCTCGGGCTCCATCCGTCTCGGTCGAGTCAAGCCACAGCCGCCAGCACCCAAGTCGCTCACAACCTCCCAACCAACGTGGCTCGCAAGAACAACGACCCATCGGACAACCGTCAAGGAGGAAACGGTGTGGCCATGATGGTGGCGGTGACGACAACCGCCGCCGGGACAACCGCGACAATCGCCGCGATAACCACGGTCGCAGGGCTAATCCAGATGGCAATCGAGATCGCCGCGATGGCAATAACGATCTCCGCCATTACCTCGGTGGACGCGATCTGCGCGCTCGCATCAACCAGAGAGCCGACGATCGAGCGTCCCACGAAAGTTATCGCCGTATGGAATATGACACTGCCCACGACCCGCCGGGTTTGAAGCAGTTTACTCCACACCTTCGCCAAGTCATATGGCCCAAGAATTTGAAGCTCGAGAAACTTCAGAAGTACGACGGCAAGGAAAACCCCGAATTATGGGTCATGCTTTACGAGATCGCGTGCGATCAACCATGGTCGACGAAAGCACGTCATGTCTAACTATTTCCCGATCCATCGTTGGCCATGCGGTCACCAATGGCTGGTCGACTTCTTGGCGAACTATTTCAACTCTTGGCGGGAGCTCAAGCAAGCCTTCATCGACAACTTCATTGCTACTTGTGAACAACCGGGCAACAAATATGATCTCGCAACGTATTCGAGATCGAAAAGATGAGCCATCGCTACTGGCGAAGTACGCCCGGTGTTTCTCGGAGATGCGCATCAAGGTCCCATCAATCTCCAACAACGAGGCAATCGAGGCTTTCATCATCGGCCTCCGCTTCCACGATGCCCTAAGGGACAAGCTCCTCCGCAAGAGACTGATTCGATCCACAGCTACGCCCGCCACCGCTAAGAAATACGTGGGCGCCGACAACGCTAAAAAGATAATTATTGAAGAAGCAGCAAGGGTTCCGCGCTCCGACCACCCCCCACACCGCGACGACTACCGCGACAACCGTGGTCGGAACGACAATTTTGACCGCCGCCACCAGAATTAACAAGAACGACTCCGCGACCACCGTGACCAACGTAATCAGGTAGGCGTAACCGCCGTGACGATTACAGGAGCAAGCGTGCTCGGGAAGACGACGACGAGGTCAACACCGTTAAAAAGGGTGGCGGACATCGTAACTATGAAGACGACTACGCCAAAGCATTGAAGGGGCCCTGCCAGCTCCATCATAAGTCGAACCATACCATGGAGAATTGTCGCGTCCTCAAGTCTATCTACACGCGTCAACAAGCTCCGGATACGTCCGACAAGCCTAACGACGCAGGGGAACAGCGCAACGAGGATAATGACAACGACGATGCAGACCCCCATCACAAGTACATCCAGCCAACCGATCGCGTGCACACCATCATCGGAGGCAAAGTGTCCATCGAGACCAAACGAGAGCGCAAGCTGCTCGCCCGCGCTTGCTTGAACGTGGCCAACACCGACAATCTCCTCACCGATCCACGGCTCCCTCCGTGGTCTCACCGTGAAATCTCCTTCAGCAGAAAGGACTAATGGGCGCATAATACACGAGCTGTATGCGTTTTCCCACGGTCCTCGATCCTTGTATCAACAAAGTTCGATTTGATAGAGTAATCGATCGACGGCGGCAGCTCCATTGATATACTATTCAAGAACAGTCTGCCCGCCCTAAAGATAGCTCAGGCGGACCTCAAGCCATACGAGGCATAGTTCTGGGGTGTTCTCCCTGGACAGAGCTCTACACCTCTCGGGCAGATCACGCTACTAGTGCAGTTTGGGACCCCGGATCACTTCCGCACCGACTACGTCAACTTCATGGTCGCCGACTTCGACGGCACCTACCATGCTATTCTTGGTCGACCGTCGCTCACCAAGTTCATGGCCATACCTCATTACAGGTATCTGGTGCTCAAGATGCCTACCGAGAAAGGAGTTCTAACCCTCCGAGGCAACATGTACGCAGCTTATACCTGCGAAGATGATAGTTTCAAAATAGCAGAGGCTCACGACCTCTCTATTCGCATGGCCGAGACCGTGCTCGACGCCAAGAAGACCTCGATCGACCACCAGGAGATCCCGGAGCTCGAGGCTCCACGCAAAAACATCAAGTTCAAGGAGCACAAGGTGATCCAGCTGGTCGATGGTGATCCTAGCAAGACGGCCCTTATCGGGGCCAACCTGGATCCCAAATAGGAAGACGCGCTCGTCAGGTTCTTGAGGAGCAACGTGGATGTGTTCGCATGGAAACCTGCTGACATGCCCGGTGTACCTCGTAACTTGATTGAGCACTCCTTGAATGTCAACGGCAAGGCCAAACCTATCAAGCAGAAGCTACGACGGTTCGCTCGCGATAAAAAGGAGGCGATTAGGGTAGAAGTTACATGGCTTTTGGCAGCCGGATTTATCAAAGAAGTGTATCATCCGGAGTGGTTAGCCAACCCGGTTCTTGTACGCAAAAAGAATAATGAATGGAGAATGTGCGTTGATTACACTGATCTCAACAAACACTGCCCTAAAGACCCTTGACTTGCCTCACATAGAC